CCTGGCCTTGAACACTGCCAGGGAGGGGGCAGCCACAGCTGCTCTGGGCAGCCTGGGCCAGGGCCTCACCACCCTCATGGGGAAGAATTTCTTCCTAATATCCAATCTAAATCTGCCCCCTTTTAGTTTACAGCCGTTCCCCCTTGTCCTATCACTACCCACCCTTGTGAAAAGCCCCTCTCCATCCTTCCTGTCGGCCCCTTCAGGCACTGGCCGCTGCTCTAAGGTCGCCCTAGTTTTTGTTTGTTTCATGAGTTACATATATATAAATTATTTTTTTCTCGGTGATATTTTTGCTGGTCTGGTGAGCAGGTCTGGCTGGTCGGGGTGCTGGCCAAGCACCAGAGCTAGCGTGTGTGAGTCGGTACCTGTGTATCAGGGAGCGAGCACGGGAGGAGCAAGACCTTCCCCGTCAGCAGCAGTGAGTGGTTAGAGCGGAGCACCGCGTCTTGTCACAGAGATTATCTGTTGTTTGTTAGGGGGAAGTAAAAATCGGTGTCCTTCGGTATGGATGCTTCTTTGCATCCAGCTAGGTTTGTTAAGGTCCAGTGAAGGAAAATGTTTAATGAGTCAGGAGTTACATACTGCTAGTAAGAAGTCAGGAAGTTATTTCAGACGTAATAGTGTGCCACCGTATTTCTCTCAGAATTTGTAGACCCTGTAGAACGTTCTTTGTTTCAGTTTCCTTGTCTTCCTTTTGAAAATCGTCAAGCATCTAGAAACAATCAAGAGCTTTGTTGGAAAGGCAATTTTTCTGTGCTGGATAAGACAGCAAAATGCTGCATCATGAAGACAAACCCGGCTGGTAACATCTCCTGTCAGCAGCCGCTTGTGTGACTCCAAGCTGCTGACACGAACAGCGCCGTGCAGAAAGTCTGCTCGTGGTTCTGAGGCTGAGGCCATGTTGTTTTGTTAGGACAAGTCCTCTTCCCAGGCAACAGGGCTTATAATGTGCCCGTTTGCTGCGGGGTGGAGGTGCAGCGAGGGTTTCCCCAGAAACACGGCTGTCTGGGCCAAGTGGCCCAGGTGGGTCTCGCCATTGCCGCGTCCCGGCGATTCCCGTCTTCCCTCCTAACCCCTTTCCGTGGGACTCTGTCTTGCAGGGTCTGAAAGAAGCTGTATGTCTCGGTTTTCTTCAGTGGGCATAAAAAATGCCAAATACTCACCCAACTGTGGAAAACAGCTTGAGTGCAGAGGTTTTGTGACGCTGTTTGAGACCCCCTGGTTAAATTGTGATTGGTGTTTTGTAGCAGTGGAAGTTGCGCAGAAGGGTTTGAAAGCTCTGCTGAAGTTGAAGGTGATTCTTACAGAGAAGGCAAAGGGAGTGTTGCCTTGGCCTTTAGTTTTCATTTTTCCTTTTTTTTTTTTAAGTTGATTTTGCAAAGTTGCAAATTGTGAGTGCGTGAGTGGTTATAATCTTGTAGCTATCCCAGCACAAATCATAATTATAAATAAACAGAATTTATTTGTTGTTTTTCCCCTTGGTTTTCTTACTTGTATTTGCTCTTAGCATTCATTTAATAACAGGAAGGTAGCCTTGCACCCAGAATGTACGTTTTTCTACTTTTTTCATTAATTCTGTGTATGTTTTCGTACATGATTTTTGCTTGACGCCTAAATCGTAGCAGTCTGACCAAGCAGTCTGCCAGTTGCAAGCCTACAGTAACTGGTGCGGGAGGGCTGGGCAGGAGGAGAGAGGGGAAGATTAGGGGGGAGTTCCAAGGTTCCACAAGAATATAATCACAAATGAGCAAAGAGCGGAGACCGATGGAAGACAGCTGAAAAGGTCACGCAGAAAAGGTAGTACCAAAGTACAGACACTTTGCTTGTATGGAACAGCGCAGGTGGTCTCTCCTTCAAACATCTTTGTGCAGCTTTGTTTTCAGACATGTTATTAAGAAGCTTTATTTATTTATTTATATTATGAAGGCAAACAGCGGCTGTAATCGTCTGTTGATTTGTGCCTTCTCTGTTTGCAGGCTGAAGTGGAGGAAACACTGAAGCGAATTCAGAGCCAGAAAGGAGTGCAAGGAATCATTGTGGTTAATTCTGAAGGTACTGTGCCAGTCGCGGTTTTCCAAGCTGTGACTTACTCTAAACGTCCGCTTTAAGGACCGCGGATTGTGCTGCTGGCGTTTGGAGCGCGACCTGTCTTTACCAAAGGTTTTCACGGAATCACAGAATGGTCAGGGTTGGAAGGGACCTCTGTGGGTCACCCAGCCCAACCCCCTGTCGAAGCAGGGTCACCCAGAGCAGGCTGCACAGCACCGCGTCCAGGCAGGTCTTGAATATCTCCAGAGAAGGAGACTCCACAACCTCCCTGGGCAGCCTGGGCCAGGGCTCCGTCACCCTCAGAGGGAAGAAGTTCTTCCTCATGTTCAGCCGGAACTTCCGGTGCCTCAGTTTGTGTCCGTTCCCCCTTGTCCTGTCGCTGAGCACCACTGAAAAGAGCTTGGCCCCGTCCTCCTGACCCCCACCCTGCAGATATTTAGAGGCATTTATAAGGTCCCCTCGCAGCCTTCTCTTCTCCAGGCTGAACAAGCCCAGCTCCCTCAGCCTCTCCTCGTAGGAGAGATGTTCCAGTCCCCTCACCATCCCCGTAGCCCTCTGCTGGACTCTCTCCAGTAGCTCCTCATCTTTCTTGAACTTCCCTTAGCCGAACCAGACAGACAACAGTTAGGCTGTGAGAGAAAATTGGATTCCCATTGCTGCTTTTCTGCAAGCTCACTGTATTATTTTAGGAAATAAAATAAATTGCAAAAGCTTAGAGGTCTTTGAGTGACGCCGATGTTTGAGACTGTGTTCTGTGAAAGCCTTTGTCAGCAGCACTAAAAGCTGTCCTGGTGTCTGAGCTGTTGCTGCCGCGCGTGCCCAGAGTGCCGCCGTCTTGGCAGACCGGAGCAGCCCAGCAGCGGGCTGCCTGGTGCTCAGTGCCTCGTGAAGTAGTTGTCTCTTTTTGGAGTCACTGAAGGGTCCGACAGAGCAGACTTGTTCAGAGCGCTCCGAATACACTGTGAGCAGCCCAACTTCTTAACGTTGTGTGATTATCAGTTTAAATTGAATGCTTCCTAGAAATAATCCCTAGAAAAGATGACAGAGAGTAGCTATATGTAAACGTATTGAAGAGCAGATTGTTGCGTACTTGTATGCAGCTCGTGTTCCTGCTCGCTGCGTGTTCATGGTGGTGAATAATGGACTGTGCTCTTCAGGCTGAAGCTGCGTTTGTTTGAACATCCACCTGCGGGAGTTCTTCTGCCATGCCAGTGCTTGGTAGTTGGCTGCCGCGTTGTTCTGACACACGAGCAGAATTATGGCTGGCTTTTTGTGGGAAAACATATCTAACAGGTGGCAGAAGTACCAGGGAGGGACAGCCCTGGCCAAACAGCGTGTGTCTGCCCTTTTGGCTGGCGCGCAGGAGTGGAACCAGGGACCTCGCAGGGCTGCATCGGCTCTGAGGGCTGAACGCTGGAGCCGCAGCTTTGTCACCGTGCGAGGCAGCAGCTGACGGCCGCTGTCATCAGTGCGAATCCCAGCCTAGCTGACCTGAGAATCATTTTAACTGTGATGTTCAGGAGCCTTTCTGAAAGGAAGAGCTGTGCCCAGTCAGGGGAACAAACCGGAAACATTGCTATTTCCTCCCCCCACCCCACCCCCGATATTTATTTTGTTATTATTTATTTCTTTGTAAAGAAATAAATAATAACCACACCTGTGGTTCCAGATCTTAGCCTTTCCACATCTTATTTCTGTTCATGTTCTGCTTTTAAACCTTGAAAAAGAACACTCCTAATCCCTTGCGTAGCAACAACATCTGCTTCGGTTAAGCAGCCACCCCAGCTGGACCTGGTGGTGCCCAAGGCCGAGTTAGCTCTGGGGTTTGGTCACCGACCCTTGCTGTCCCTCGTTTCTTGCAGGTATTCCTATCAAAAGCACTATGGACAACTCCACAACGATTCAGTACGCGGGCCTCATGCACAGCTTCATCATGAAAGCAAGGAGCACTGTGCGAGACATCGATCCCCAGAATGACCTGACATTCCTGCGGATCCGCTCCAAGAAAAACGAAATCATGGTTGCTCCAGGTAGCTGTGAGTGGGGTGAAAGCAGGCATCAGGGAATCCCGCAGGATTCTTTTCTTGTGAGATTGGCACTGTCAGCCTGAGAGAAGAGTTCTGCCTGCTGCTTTTATTCGTAGTGTATAATCTCCTCTTTTCCAGTAAGCTGGTTTGCCTTCTTCAGAGTTGAAAGCTTTTATCATTGACCTAAGTTTGCTTTTTCACGATTGAATGTGGGAAACCGCTTTCCTCAATTCAGGTTGATCAGAGGAGAAAGCATTCGTGTTTGAGAGTGTGTTGAGCTGAGAGGAATGGAGCTGGAGAGGAATATGTTTTGAGAGCAATTTCAGTTCAGCACTGTAGACTTAAGCGATAAAGCAAAACAGTCTGATAGATTTTCCAGTTCAGAGAGAAGTAGTAGAGCACATTGTAGCTGTAGTCATGAGTTGTAAAATACAGCAGCAGCAACCTTCTTTTCAGGAAACATCCTCAGTATTTCATCAAACTATGAGACGGGAAGCAGTGAGGTGAGCACAGTTCACTAATGCAGCGGGAACTCGGCTTCGTCCCTTCAGACTGCATCGGCTCCGTGGTGGGGTTGTGCTGGTGGAGAGGCGAAGGAGGGGACTGCAGTGGCCGTAGACTGCTCTGCAGGAAGCGGTCAAGGCAGATCTTGAGATGGGCTCTGGGGTTTGTGCGGAGGCAGCCTCTGGTTTCCATATGAAGAGAGAGGAATAAGCATTGCTCCGGAAAAAATGCAGCTGCAGCTGCTGCAGCCCAGCAGTCTGCCTGGGAGGTAGGGGAATCGCCAGCTTGCACTGCCTGTTTCGATTCCGTCGCTGCGTGTGCCAGTTACTGTTACTTCCTAGGCACAAACCGAGTTAAATTTGATCAGCTTGGGAGCACGCAGTTTCTATAGCGGAGACTTTTTCTCAGTAAGATTTATTTTATAAGTGATCTGACATGTGAAGCCTGTTTTGCTCATTGAGAACGGGTGTCAGGACTCTCTAGTTCCCACACTGTATCAGCGAGACATGACAAAATGTTGAAATTTACTGTCGCTGTGAACAAATATCAGCACTGAAAGAACAATATTTTTTTTTTTTTCCCCTCCAGATAAAGACTACTTCCTGATTGTCATCCAGAATCCAACTGAATGATTGCACTGACTTGGTCTGTTTTTTTCCCTTTGCCCAACTGTTTTTTTAATTTAAAGGTAAAGAATAGAGCGTTAGTGTTAACTCTGCTGTGCCACTTCCATAATGTCTGGAATAACAAAAGCGGGTGGCGTTGTTGTTTACAAACAGAAAAAGTGGAATTTTTTTTTTGTATCAGAAGTCGTTTTGAGGAGGAGATGGTGAATTAGAATCAAGCAGTAAAAAAATGCAGCAGATTCTTCTAATGGTTAAGAAGACAATATAATAAAATTCTAACAATGTTCTAAAAAATATTATGCTTTATATGTTTCCATGCTTCTGTCACCACTATTTGAGATATGCTTTTACACTACTACTTTTGAATGACTGTAAATATGAAACTCGCCTGTCCTCTAGTTCTGTCTTACTCTGTTGGTTTTACGAGTCATTTTGAAGCCGTCTGGCCATGTCAAATTAAAGTGTCATCAGTGACTGGTTTTGTCTTATGCGTTTTCCTTCTGAACATTTTAATTATTCTCATGTTTGCTGGAGATTTTCTTCAGAAAATAGAACTTTTCTAGGGCTGTTTTTACTCATCTGTTGCTTTCTCTAAAGAAGGATTTAGTCTGAGTGCATGTGCAGTGTACTCACGATTGCCTCGTGCATTGGAGTGTTTTCCTGCCTTTTTTCCCCTTCCTTTTTGTTTCAGACAGAGAAGTGTTGTGGCCAAGTGAGGCCATCGAGCCTGCCTGGTGGAGAGCTCGCGCTGTCACAGTTCAGTAGCCAATTTGATCTGGTATCTTCCTTTAGTAATTTTTTATTGATGGCCATTAAGGACAAAAAAGATCATCTGGTTCCTCCAGAATAATAAAGGGATTGTTTTTGTTCCTTTGAAAGAGCCTTGTAATTGCGTGCAGAGCTCAAGAGTTTGTGCAAAATGTCTGCACTGAGGTTGGTTGTCACGTGTCACAGACAGAGCCCTGGCTTGTCTGGAGGCGTCTCAGCAATGTGCAGAGCATCATAGCCCAGATTCAGACGTGGTGGTCGTGGGGCTGCCTGAGGGAGAAGCGCTTCACCAGCCTGGAAAGGAATTTCTGCCAAAGAGCACCGAGCAGAGAGGCACAGCCTGCAGGCGTGAAGCATGCTGTACGGTTAAAGGGCGAACCTTGACTGAGTACCTGCAGCTTTATGGGGGGATGCTGTTTCTTGTGCTGGTGGGGGATCGCTCCTGACACGGGTGCCTCTGTCAGCAGAAGTGTGTAAACCGTGTTTGGCCCCGCTCTTTCAAATATACAAGGAGTAGCAGGAACTTGTGATGCTGTCCAGTTCTACACCGTGGAACAGGCTCAGAACTCACGGGTGAGCTCAGCAGGCTAGGGGGTATTCCAGGCAGCTGGCTGCACTGCAGTTTTGGAGTCCTTAGTAAAAATGTTGGTGTGGATTTGGACACTTTTCTGGACTTCAGAGCACAAAGCGATGGGGCGGATCTGTGGTGACTCAAACAGCTGAGGTAACCTCTGTGTCCAGCATTTGTTTGCTGTGCCTTTTCCGACTTGTGTTAACTTACAGACTGTGTCTAATTTTTCAGGTAGTGTTTATGACTGTGAAACTCAGTTCTTCGGTGGTGTTTATGACCATGAAAGTCAGAAATGCTTTCTGAGACCAGTAAAGTGGTCAGTCCTGCAGCATCTGGGTGAGGGTGCTTTACAGTATTTGGGTGTCTCAGCAGTCATCGTGTCTTGGATCAGCTGTTGCTCAGTTTATGAGCTGTTCCCATGATGTAAGCATCCATCTCCTAGTTGCAGCCAACTGACAGATAATTCGCATAGCATGTATTCACTGGCCCTTTTACTACTGAGTCTTGGTTTGAGCCATGCCATCAAACCAACGAACGGGGTCTGGAATCATGCTCTGCGTTTCAAGTAGCTCCTGTGATACACAGCAGCTTACACAACACATGTGATCTGCTGTAATTTGAATGCTGTCTCCAAAAAAATGATCTCCAGCAAGCTGAAGTCTCAAGAATAACTGAATAGTGAGGCAAGGCAGGAGAACACTGTGGCTTCGGTTATCTCCTCCATCTTTTGTTCATAGTCAGAGAAATGTTTTCTTGGAGGTGGTGACCTGCTCCTGTATTTTGGCTTTCCCTCGCAGGTGACAGTGTTACTCTTGAGCAGTGAACAGTTTCTTTAGTGTCCTGCATTGGTTTGGACACCTCTGTAGGGATAGCTGTCTTGCTGGTGGTTTTGTGTCACACCTGTGTGTGGGACAGAGTGTTGAGGTGGTTTTTGTTCTTCAACGAGTTGTAATAAATAAACCTATTGCGAAAGAAGGATCATGCCCATCTTCTGCATTATGTTGAGACCATAAACTTGCAGTCAAATTACTGAGTTCCTCCTCTATGCTGATTGTTTGGGGTTTGGAGGGGATTTGGAGGTTGGTTTGGGGGGTTGGGTTTGGTTTGGGTTTTTTTCCAAGGGCTGTTAGCAGTCTGACTTGAAATATACTCAGGATTTTGAACAAAGGGATCTCGAAGAAGCTGGTTTTGGAGTCCGGAGGAGCTTGTCAAATCCATCTGGTCAGGGCAGGGCCTTGCTTACTCAGTGCTAGTGCTTGTAGCACCTTTACGCTCGCATTCAAAGTTAATTCAAATTGGTTTTTTGTAAATGGGGAAAGGGTGGATGAAGCTGAAGAGCAGCAACTTCCATTGGATACTTCCTATGGAGAAAAAGTGTCATCTTTGGATCGGGAGCATCAGAGAGTCACAGAGATCTGACCGGAAACAATTCCTTGCTAACTGTGAGCTAGGGGAGGATTTCACTTTTCCGAAATCACCTTAAAGAGGGTCAAGAAAGCGATGGGATGAAGTTCTGCTTCTTGTCCTGTGTTTGCCGAGTCTGGGCTTAGTCATTTGTATGGTAAAGCTGCTGTCAGCTTGAGGAAGAATAGGAAAATAAGCATTATGGTTCCAGTCCCCTCTAGCCAGAAGGTGTGACTCAGTGGTTCAAAGGAGGGCTTGAATGACCTTTGCGGTCTGTGCCTCAGAGCTGCTCTGTGTGGAGCTCGGAGACTGGCCTCATTTGCTGTCTTGGAGGAGTGGGTTGTGATGGATCTCGACTGAAGCATCTGCTGCCCAGATGTGGAAAACAAACCCTGATGCATTAGCAGGCTAATGGGAGGAAGTCTGTGTGCCTCCAGGCTGTGAACAGCAGTTTGAGGCCCAGGGACGTGCTCTCTTGTGCTGACTCTGCTCCGAGATAAGGCTCTAGCAGAGGAATGGAGGCCATAACTTATTAATACTGCAAAAGCAAGGCTTGTAGAAACTCATCTTCTGTGGATCTGCAAGCAGCTCTTCGCAGCTGGCATTCGCTCCGGCGCGCTCCTGAGCAGCCTTCGCCTGCCTGAGGTGGCTGACTCTGACGTGCAGCGCTCAATGTCGCATGTGGGGTGTTTATGTTTGATCTTGTCCTAACACTTTTGTTATGTGTAGCTACATCTACAGGGGCTGAAAGCCTGGCAGAGGCAGTTACACCAGTACGGGCTGGCCTTCTGTTGGCAGAGCTGGAGCGGCTCCTGGGACCGGTACGATCTGCAGGAAGAGCTGCGGCGGCTGGGGGTGCAGGGGCAGCGGGCGCTGGCAAACGCTGCTGTGCCAGCAGAAGCCCGAGCATCAGCATGGTTTCTGCTGACAAAAAGACGCTTCCTTTAGCAGCACGAGAGGGTTCCTTTGGGGAGGATTCCCTCCGTTGGCGTGGTTTCGCAAGCATCCTGGAGTGCTTGTTGTCAGTGGGTGTTTGCCTTGCGCTGGCATGCGGAAGGCTTGGTGTTGATCCTGGGTCGTGTTGGGACAGCTTGCTGGTGCCGGGCTGGTACAGGTGGTTCCCTCCAACTTCTTTAAACCCATGACTGATCTGGGGTTTTGGGCTCAGAAGTGCATGTCCCTAACTAAGGAGTTTTGCCCGTGACATCGGTAAGAACGGGCCAGAGAGGTATTAGTGTGTGAGAGATTTTTCAGGAAAGCTGAGGGCTGGAGGAAGAAGTGTATAAATCCTACTCTGCTGTGTTAGGAGTGAAACTTCCTTGGTCCATGTCCTGTTTTTGTAAGTACATTCGCATGCTGAGGAGCTCCAGAGCTGCCATGAACCAGTGCCTCCCACCCCAGGTGCAGGAGGGATCTGCTGCAGAATTATGGCCCCGGTCCCGCAGCGAGGTCTGCACGGGTGAAATCGGGGATCCAGTCACTAAATGAGGAGGAGTTCCTCATGCCTCTCCTCAGAAAGGCGTTAGCGCTTTGTAACGATGGTGATAAGAAGTGCTTTCCCACAGAATCACAGAATGTTTGGGGTTGGAAGGGCCCTCTGTGGGTCACCCAGTCCAACCCCCTGCTGAAGCAGGGTCACCCAGAGGTGCTTCAGTTTGTGCCCCGTTGCCCCTTGTCCTGTCACTGGGCACCACTGAAAAGAGTCTGGCCCCATCCTCCTGACACCCACCCTTCAGATATTTGTAAGTATATATTAGGTCCCCTCGCAGCCTTCTCTTCTTCAGGCTGAACAAGCCCAGCTCCCTCGGCCTTTCCTCGTAGGAGAGATGCTCCAGTCCCCTCATCATCCTCGTAGCCCTCCGCTGGACTCTCTCCAGTAGCTCCTCGTCTTTCTTGAACTGGGGAGCCCAGAACGTGACACGCCACGGCAGAGGGGGCCTCACTAGGGCAGAGTAGAGGGGCAGGAGAACCTCCCTCGCCCTGCTGGCCACACTCCTCTTGATGCTCCCCAGGATCCCACTGGAAGGCAGCCTGTGAGGTTGATCCGCTGGCCGTGTCCAGTTCGACGTCCCCACGTCCCCTCACGTGTTTTCTGTTGGAAGAATCGGGCTCGGCAATGGAGGTCGCTGCCCGTACCTGGGTTGCAGCAGTGGATCGGGGGGGTTTAGGCCTCCCCACCAGCGTGTGTCTCACGAGCTGCTGCTGGGCGAGGGAAGCCCGTGATGCTGGCCACGGAGGCCATTGTTTCTCCCTTAATGGGTGACACTGTTAATAATGTTAATGTGAGCGGCCGTTTCCCCCGCCTTTGTCCCATGGGCTGTCCGTAACCCTGTCCCGTTCTGCGGCGCGGGGGGGCTCCCCGCAGAGCGGCGGGCGGTGCAA